GAGGAGGGGTTCAAAGACAGAAAGGAAAAAAGAGGTCTATATGCTGTCCTAAGCTAAGAGATGGGAAGGTGGGTCTGGGGCTTCAAAGGGGGAGGAGGGCATTTGTAGACCAATAAGAAGAGATGTTTGGTAATGAGATGTTTGCCCTGCCATACAGATGGATCCTGCGGATAAACTCTATCTCTGGTAATAGCTCTCATTCTGGGAAAGAGCCCTCATTTTAGATTCTTCTGGGTACTTAGGGGAGGGGCAACATTCTTTTGAACTTGCAGGATCTCAGTTGTCTTCAGGGCAAAGTAGTCCGAGCCAAAGTTGTACATTTTGGGGAGACTTGTTCTAAACACCTTCATGTTCTTGTCCGTACTTCTCCCCAGCCCCCAGAAAATCTGTCTCCTCTAGGTTTTCAAGTTTGCTTGCCTAGACTGTGGCCTTGACAGCCCCTTTCTTGTCTTGATGAGCGTAAACCCCCTTCCCCACTACCAAATAAGACAAGTCTTAAGTTGACTTAAGGTTACCATTTTTCTCTTAATTAATTTTTTGAAAAGTTTTACATTCAGGAAATGCTACATTCTTCCAAGTTGTTCTTAGAGGAGTAGGCTAAGATATACATCATCTCCTAGAGCACACCACCCCCATCCCAGGCAGCAGGAAGTCCCTGGAATGCGTCCTCTGCATTCAGCGGCCAAGGATCGGCTCTGCTCCTCTCCTGAGGGAGGAAGTCCTGGCCAGAGAGCTTCTACCCCTTCCCTCTCTTCAAAGAATAATGGAGAACTGAGGTTAGGTAATGAAAGCTCCCATGGTTTTTCCCAAGTTGTGTGTTGACTGGGTCAGTTTCCTGCTTACTTAGACAATGGTCAAATAAGCTGTTTTGCCTTGGCCCCCTTCTGTTGTAAAACTCAGGTTTCATCTCATAGAGACTAGATTTGTTAAAAAAATATATATATATAATTATATACACACACACACACACAGACTTTATATGCTTTTAATTTGGTCAGAAGCCCCGCAGGTGGCAAGAACAGGACTTACAGAGGCAAAGGGCAGCAGAACGTGCTACCTGAAAATATGCCCCAAAGAGTTTGATGCTGAAGGCAGTTGGGAAAAAGCAGACACAGGAAAAGCTTGTCGCTCTTCCCCTATTGGCCTAGAGCAGGACTAAAAAAAAATTTTTTTGAAGATTTTATTTATATATTTGACAGAGAGCAAGAGAGGGAACACAGCAGGGGGAGTGGGAGAGGGAGAAGCAGGCTTCCCGCTGAGCAGGGAGCCCGATGGGGGGCTTGATCCTAGGACTCTGGGATCATGACCCAAGCCGAAGGCAGACATTTAACTGAGCCACCCAGGTGCCCCTCGCAGGACTAAATTTATAAAGCTGACTCCCTCTCTCCCTTCCCAGAAGGGTATAGGCTAATCCGGAGAGAGAACTCCAGTCCCTTAGGATCACCAAAGGCATCCACATAACAAACCCTGTTAGTTAGTTCCCCTGTGTATTTACACCTTCCCTCCATGTTCTGCCTCTAGAAGCTCAGCCTTCTCCTTTGACTTGTCTCTTCTTGAAAACTGTGTCGTTCTCTTGTTAACGCTCTCTCTCTCTCTCTCTCTCTCCATTACTCATGCAGGTTCTCCCGTGTACATGCTTGAAACACACACTAATAAACTTCTCCTTTCCTCTTGCCAGTCTCTCGTCAGCATAATTGACGGGACCCCAGCCACAGAACCCAAGATTGGTAGAGCGTAAACATTTTTTTTTTCCCTCTCCTCCAGGAGCTTCCTCCAAGAAATGACCTGCGTGTTATTCTCTCTGACCACAGAAAGCAGCTTCCAGTAGGAAGGGGTCCCCTGCCTCCTCCTCCCTCTTCCTCACCCTCCTCTGTCTCCAGCTTCCCTCTCTCCCTCTAGCTTCTGTTCCTATAAACGTGTGCCACTCTTGGCTACCCCCAACCTGTCTGATTTCAGAAACAAAAAAAAGTCCTTCGAGCCTGTGTTTTCCTTCCTATTTTTTTCTACTACAGTAAAATGCACATAACCTAAAATATGCCATTTTTAAATGTCTCATTCAGTGGTATCAGACACATTCACGGTGTTGGACAACTATCATCCCTACCCATTTCCAGAATGTTTTCATCTTCCCTGAGACTCTATACTCATTAAACACCATCTTTCCATTCTCCTCTCCCTTCTTTTCAGTTTCTAAAATTCTCTGGGACAAACAGCATCATACCAAGGTATCTATTTTTAAAAAAAAAAAGATTTTATTTATTTATCTGATAGAGATTACAAGTAGGCAGAGAGGCAGGCAGAGAGGGAGAGGGAAGCAGGCTCCCCGCTGAGCAGAGAGCCCAATGCGGGGCTCGATCCCAGGACCCTGAGATCATGACCTGAGCCGAAGGCAGAGGCTTAACCCACTGAGCCACCCAGGCGCCCCTGTAAATAAAAATTTTTTAATAGGTCCATGCTAGGCGTGGAGCCCAACACGGGGCTTGAACCCATGGCCCTGAGATCAAGACCTGAGCTGAGGTCAAGTTAGGGCTTAACTGACTGAGGCACCCAGGTGCCACTGATGTTTATTTTTCCTTTTGGTGATCTCTACACCCAGTGTGGGGCTCAAACTCACGACCCGGGGATCAAGAGTCACATTTAGAGAGAGGAAGAAAGGAAGCATGTGGGGTCGGGGGAGAGGCTGAGGGAAAGAGAGAATTTCCAGCAGCCTCCATGTCCCACTCAGTCCGGACCCTGAGATCATGACCTGAGCCAAAACCCAGAGTCTGATGCTTAACCAACTGAACCACCCAGGCGCCCCCAAAAGGAATTTTTAAAAGAAAAACGATCACCTACAATGTGATCCCTCTTCCTATATGAGCTGTTTCCATTTCAGGGATACTTGATGTATCCCTACCAGTCCTTGCCCACATGCGGTCATTCTTAGTGCAAATATTTGTGCGGTCCTGCCTTCTGCTTGACTTGGAAGCTAATCTTTTTCTTCATGTTAATATATTACCCTATGCTGGACTTCTTGATAAATGAGTCCGAGATAGTGTATCAGATTAATAGACCACAGCTTTAAAAAATCATTTCCCTGTTAGCCATCTCTAATTTTTCATCATTTTGAATAATGAAGTTATTTGGAAATTCTTGGGAATCATTCCTGTTTCCCCTCCTCCCTGGTTTTGGATAAAGTCTCAGAGGTGGGGCTTATTAGGTCAAAGGAATGAATGGTTTTAAAAAGACATTAGGAACCCACTACTAAGGGGCACCTGGGTGGCTCAGTGGGTTAAAGTGTCTGCCTTCAGCTCAGGTCATGATCCCAGGGTTCTGGGATGGAGCCCTGCATCGGGCTCTCTGCTCAGCGGGAAGCCTGCTCCCCCGCCACCGCTCCCATCTGCCTCTCTGCCTATTTGCGATCTCTGTCAAATTTAAAAAAAAAAAAAAAAAAAAAAAAAAAATCTGTCAAATTAAAAAAAAAAAAAGAAAAGCAAATTAATACTATCAGTTACAGAATCGGAGGGCTTTGGCTTTGCCCACAGCCTCACTGGTTCTGGGTATTATTACTTCATTACCTCCTCTGCAGCGGAACAAAATGACCATTGTTGTTTTCATTTGCATTTGGTCCCCAGTAAAATCAAATTTTCTGCTTAATGTTTACCCCTTAGCTGTATTTCTCTTCTGATGTCACCTTTCTCCTTTACCAAATCACTCCATGGAGACTAGATTTTTAAAAAAAACTTTCTTTGGACCTGCTCTTTATATGCTGTAGCCCTGTTTCCAGGTATTTCTAATGGAATCATTCCCTGTCCCATCCATCCTTCTCTGAATCCTGCACGTGTGGGTGCACACCCAGCCACGTGCCCCAAATTGCAAAGTGTGGGCGTTGTCAAATCTGCCTTCAGAAAGGAGAACCGCGCTTACCCCTTGGGGTCTGGGCGCGTGCCTAGCCCACTGCCGTTATCCTGCTAAGTGTCTGGCTGGGGACAGAGTGTGGGATGCAGGTTGGGAACCTTCAGCAGTATCCTGTCTGGACCGGAAATCACCGATCCTTTGAGCAGATCTAGAAACTGAGGTCACGTGGTTATAAACCATGGGTGCGTCAAACCCTGAACTGCTCCGCCTCCCTCCCACCCCCCAACCCCTGCCCCACACTCCAGTGATTTGCTTTCCACTGTGAAGTCCAGTTCCTTCCTCCTCCTTCTGGGCCGAATGCACCTCCGGGGTGCATTTCTGACCACGTGTGACATGGCTGATGGGGACATTTTAATGTGGACTCAGGAAAAATGAGTAAGCACTACGAAGGTGTCTTGGGACAGGGCGAAAGTGCACTTGGCTCTCTTCATGTCTGTGGTAGACTATGAGCACAGCTCTTGGAACACAGGAGGTGGTGACTGATGCTGGTAGCCTTGCGGGTCCAGTGGGGCCCACATCAGCACCAGCCTGGCCGTCGGGCGGTTGGATGACCTCGTGTAAGTCTGCTGGGTTCTTCGAGCCCGTTTCTTCATTACATGGGGTCACGCAGGCTTCCCTGGGCTACTCTAAGGTCTAAGAAAAGGTCACACATCTTTCAAAGAGTCGTGCCTGGACTCTGGGGTCTTTCAGTTGTAGCCCATGACAGCATAGCCCACACTCAACAAATCAGAACACCGCTCCCCTCCCACCTCCCTCCAGCACGTGGGAGTGTACTGGGCTGGCCCTGTTCGCGCCATCTTCAAAAAACTCTCTGACTCTCTAGAGTTCCTTCTTCTAAACTTTATTGAGCACCTGCTGTGTGCTGAGTATTATTTATGTGTGGGGAGGCCGGGACAACCGTATCTGGCATCTGACCTTCTGGTTGACCCGTTCCTAGTGTCTGATGCTTTGCCCTTTGTTCTGGAATCAGGATCTTAGGAATCTGTGTGCAGAGGGCCTGGTGGCGGGGGGGGGGGGGCTCCTCCTGGAGGGCAGATCTCACAGTCTCCCCCATCATTCCTGTGGACGGTTAGTCCCATCCATCCAGTGGATGTGTTGCGGATTCTGCCAGATTTATTTTTCAGTCAAAAATTCAAGGGATAGGTTTGCCTTCCCAAAGAAAGTGAACAGCTTTGAAGGCTATAACCTTGGGGCCTGAGTGCCCCCAGCAGGTATCTCTGGGAACCAGCCCCTCAAAAAGGAGGCTTCGAAAAACAGTTCTGTTCCAGATCCAGTGTTTACCCCGAAGAGGGACTCTCTCCCACCAGGCTTATGCTGAAGGAATTGGGGACCATCAGTCCCCCTCCAGGAGCCTCGGGTCTTAAGGGAGATACCGCAGAGGGCCAGGGAAGCCAGTGCCAAGCTAGGAAGACCTCAGGGCAGGCCAGGCTCACACCATGGAGGCCTCAGCCCGAGCAGCCAAGCACAAGGAAAAACATCTAGGGCAAGGACAGTTGCTGGAATGGAGTTCCCTTTGCAGAGGCGGGGGCCAGGGGGCCAGGCTGTGTCCTGCAGAGAGCACAGGTATCGAGGAAGGCATAAAGAATCCTCCAGACCAGCTGGGAGCTTCATGGTCCCCAGAAGTATTTTGAAATCTTCAACTCGGAGCCTCCCTTGCTGTATCTGGAGCACTTGTGGTCGCCACCCGCTGCTGTTTCATGCTAATGGTTCTGGCCCAGCCAAGGATCCCGGCCTTGCCGAGGAGCTGGGATTGGTGGGAGAAGGTGAAGGAGGCTGAAATCTTGGGCCGCTGGTGCTGGCCTAGGCACAGTCTCAAACTGTAAAGAGAAGAGGAGGCCGGGCTGTGCTGGGTGCCCAGAGGATGGAGGGGGGGCGCCTTTTGGTAGCCCCAGCATTGTCAGGCCCCGGGGGGGGGGGCGGCCTTTTTTAAAAGGACCCCTCCCCCTTTGGAAAAGAGCAGGAGTTACGGCCGTCATTCCCTACACCTGTGAGGCACAGAACCAAGATCCGGTTTCTCCACCCACCCTGTCCCCACCCTGGAGTTCCCAGCCCGGCCAGGGGGCTGGACCCCAGCACCCAAGGCTTTGGGAGCACAGGGGACGCCCCAAACCCAAATCGGGGTAAAGGGAAGTTCAGGGGGGGTCATACCTGAGCTGACTCCTGAAGGATAAGGAGAGGGGATCCAGGGCACCAAAGCGGCAGGGACAGTCAGATGGATCTAGAGTATCTGGTGACCTCTGTGTGGTTTCCCTCTACTTTAGAGCAACACAGGCTCACCCCGGCACCTCTGGCTCACATGGAAGTGTGGATCCCGTCAACTGAGAAGGGACGGCCCCTCTGCCCCTCCCTAGGCAAGTCGCCATTAGCAGGTGAGTTTGAAACGTTCTTGGAGATCTCTGGTCCTTGACTGTGTCTGGCCTGAGTGGGGCTGCTGAGAGAGCATGCAGCAGAAGCAGGGACGGCGTATGTTTTCTGGCTGCCGACCTCAGAGGGCTTCTGATGTGTCCCCACCCGCCCGGGACGGTAAAGGCTAGACACCAAACACCAGCTTCAGGGAGGTCCTTGGGTTGAAATTCTTTAAAAATATGAACATGAGAGAACTCCATTAAGTGCCTTTTCTGTCCTCTCCAGAGATTTTGGGTTCTTTTCCAGATAAGAAGCACTCTTAAACTACTTTCCAGCTTCCTGCCAAAACATACGGTCTGTGTCCCATAAACCCAGTCGTGAATTCCCGCGTGTCTGGGTGTCTGTCGGTCTGAGCTCATTCTTGCGCTTAGATTTCTGGCTCCTTAAGTGTGTTTGTCTCTTATCATCCCCTCGTTCAGGAGTATAGTGTTGACTGGCCTATCACCATGCCGAGCGTGGAGCGGGTGCTCCATAAACGTTCTTTCATGTAAAAAAATTTAATCACTGTGTCCAAGGGCACAGGCAAGCCCTCTTGAGGATATCCACAGTGCTGTGCGGCCAACACCACCATTCAGCTCCAGAACTTTTTTTTTCCGTCCTGCAAAACTGAAACTCTGTTCCCATTAACCGACAACTCCTCAACCGCCGCTTCTACCAGCAGCTGGAGACCTGGGCTCCATGGTTGTGACTACTCGAGGTGCCTCCCCTAAGTGGACTCCGAGAACATGGGTCTTCGTGACCGGCTTCCTTCACTGAGCATAACATCCTCAGGGTTCATCCATATGTAGTAAGTGTCAGAAGGTCTGGACTTTATATATTGTATATATCACAATATGGAGGTACAGATTCCTGTTGGAGTCCGTACTTTCCATTCCTTTTGGTGTGTGCCCAGAAGTGGGAGTTGCTGGATCCTATGGTGATTCTGTGTTTAATTTTTTAAGGAACCATCATAATGTTTTCCAGAATGGCTGAGTCTTTTTTTTTTTTTTTTTTGCATTTCCATCCACAGTACACAAGAGTTCTAATTTTTTTCCTCATCGTTGCTAACACTTACTTCCTAATTTTTTTTCTTACAGTAGCTCTTCTGATGGGTGGGAGGAGATAGGTTGTTGTGGTTTTGATTCACATTCCCCTGACGATGAGCGATACTGAACATCTCACATGCTTGTCAGCTGTCTGGCTGTCGTCTTTGGAGAAATGTCTATTCCGGTTCCTTGGACCATTTTCTCTAACATTTGCAAATTTATTTTTAGTAATCCCCCATGTGGGGCTCGAACTCATGACCCCAAGATCAAGGGTCACATGCCCCGCCTTCGACCGACCATTTCTTAATCAGGGTGTTCTGTTGGTGGTGAGTTTGCAGGAGTTCATTATATATTCAGAATATTTACCCGTCATCAGATAAAATTTGCAAAGATTTTCTCCCATCCCATAGGCTGCCTTTATATTACACTCTGTCGATTGTCCTTTTGTGCACAGAAGTGTTTATCCCTGATGAAGTGCAATTTGTCTGTCTTTAGATGATTGGGCCCTTGGTGCCTCTCCAAGGACTCCGTCAGAGCCAACGTCATGAAGCTTTTCCCCTATATTCTGAGGGCTTTATGCTTTCAGTTTTTATATTTAGACATCTGATCCATTTTTTTAAAAGATTTTACTTATTTGACAGAGATCACAAGTAGACAGAGAGGCAGGCAGAGAGAGAGAGGGGGAAGCAGGCTCCCTGCAGAACAGAGAGCCCGATGCGGGGCTCGTTCCCAGGACCCTGGGATCATGACCTGAGCCGAAGGCAGAGACTTAACCCACTGAGCCACCCAGGCGCCCCGACATCTGGTCTATTTTGAGCAAGTGTTCGTATGTGGTATAAAGTAAGGTCCAAGGTCATCCTTTGGGATGTAGACACCCATCCTCCCCCGCACTGATTGCCCACTATTTGATGGAAAGACTGTGCTTTATCCATTGAATGGTCTTGACAATCTTGTGAGAAGTCACAAGGGTTTACTTCACTTCTGGGCTCTCTAGTCTGTTCCCCTGGTCTGTATATCTTGTGTTAGTACCGTAGTGCTTTGATTGCCGCACCTTTGTTAGAAGTTCGTTATAAGTTCGATACCAGGAAGTGTAAAACCTCTAACTTTGTTCTTTTTCAAGATTACTTTGGCTATTTGGGGGGCCTTGAGAATCCATATGATTTTTAGGTTGGATTTTTTAAAAAAAGATTTTAGGGGCACCTGGGTGGCTCAGTGGGTTAAAGCCTCTGCCTTCGGCTCAGGTCATGATCCCAGGGTCCTGGGATCGAGCCCCACATCGGGCTCTCTCCTTGGTGGGGAGCCTGCTTCCTCCTCTCTCTCTGCCTGCCTCTCTGCCTACTTGTGATCTCTGTCTGTCAAATGAATAAAAATCTTAAAAAAAAAAAAAGATTTTATTTGACAGAGAGACAGCAACAGAGGGAGCCCAAGCAGGGGGAGTGGAAGAGGGGGAAGCAGGCTTCCCGGCTGGGCAGGGAGCCCGATGCGGGGCTCGATCCCAGGACCCTGGGATCATGACCGGAGGGAGCCACCCAGGTGTCCCAACTTTTCTTTTTTCAATGTCTGTAGGAAAGGGCTATTGGGATTTTGATGGGGTTTCCTTTAAGTCCATAGAACCCTGGGTAGTATTGACATCCTAGTGATACTAAGTGTTCCGATCTATTCATATGGGATATTTTCCCATTTCTTTGTATCTTTAACTTCTTTCAGCAATGTTTCATAGTTGGCAGTATACGGGTCTTTCAGCTTCTTGGTTAAGTTTATTCCAAGTATTTTATTTCTTTGAATACTAGCGTAAATGAAACTTACTCTCCTCACTTCCATTAGGTTAGTGTATAGAAATGCAAGTTTTTGTATTGATTTTGCAGTTTTTGTGTTGATTTTATATTCTGCGACTTTGACAAGTTTATTAGTTCTAATGGAGGATGTATGTGTGTCATCTTTAGGGTTTTCTGCAGGGACATAGGTTTTGTATCTATTTACATGTTCATTTTGTCTGAGAACAGACAGTAATTAACAGATAATTTCTTTCTTAACAATTTGGATGCCTTAATTTTTTTTTTCTGGCCTAATCACTCTGGCTAGTACTCCTAATACTGCATGTAATATAAGAGGCCAACATAGACATCCCTGCCTTAGTTCTGATCTCAGTAAAAGCCTTCGGCCTCTTACCATCAGATATGTTATCTGTGGGCTTCTCGAGCGTGCCTTTTATTAGCTGGTTTCCTCCTAGTCTGTTTGCTGAGTGTTTTTATCATGAAAGGATACTGAATTTTTGTTCAGATGTTTTCTTTGCATCAACAGAGACAAGCATGTGGTTTTTGACCTTCATTCTGGGAATGGGTTATACATTAATTTTCCTATGTTTACCCACCCTTGCATTTCAGGAATAAATCACACTTGGTTGTGGTGTATAACCCCTCCCAATGCTCTCTTGACTTCTGTTGGCTCGTACTCTTCCTGGTCTTTGTTCTTCTTTAGGATTTTGCATCTATATTACCCTATTTATCAGGGATCTTGGTCTCTAGTTTTTTTTGTGTGTGTGTGTGTTTTTTTCTTGAAGTGTCTTTCTCTGGCTTTGGTATGGCGGGAATTCTGGCCTCATAGGGATCTGGACATATTCCCTCTTTCATGTTTTGTGAGCGTTTGAGGAGGATTGCTTTTCATTCTTTAAATGCTTGGTAGACTCCACTAGTGAAGACTGGGATTTTTTTTTTTCTTTCTTTTTCCTCCTTTGTGAGGACGTTTTTAGTTACTGTTTCAATCCTCTCACTAGTTACAGGGCTGTTTGGATTTCTACTTCTTCATGATTCAGTCCTGGCAAGTTACAGGTTTCTAGGAATTTAACCATTTCATTTAGGTTGTCCATTTGCCATACAGTTGTTCATAGTACTTCTAAAATCTTTTTTTTTTTTTTTTAAAGATTTTATCTAGTTATTTGAGACAGCCAAACAGCACAAGAGTGGGAAGGGAGAGGGAGAAGCAGGCTCCCCACCAAACCGGGAGCCCAATGTGGGACTCGACCCCAGAACTCCGGGATCATGACCAGAGCTGAAGGCAGTCACTTAACCAACTGAACCCCCAAGGCACCCCTATTTTTATTTTTTTAAAATATTTTATTTATTTACTTAATGGAGAGAGCATAAGCAGGGGGAGCAGTAGAGGGAGAGGGAAAAGCAGGCTCACCGCTGAGCAGGGAGTCAGATATGGGGCTCGATCCTAGGACCCCAGGATCATGACCTGAGCCAAATGTAGATGCTTAACCATCTGAACCACCCAGGCTCCCCAGTCCCTTTTATTTTTGTAAAAATTGGCTGCAATTTCCTCTATTTCATTTCCGATTTTAGGTTAATCCTTTCTTTTTAAAACTAGGGACGCCTGGGTGGCTC